GTCAGATTCTCCTATTCACTTACTAATTCATATGTTTTTCCTGTTCTGTGGGCCATGTTATTACTTGACTTGACTTGAAGGCGAAGCTCAAAAAGTAGGTTACATTGTGAATAATTAGGTGGACGGTACTTATTGTGGAACACTTTTTGGCACAATCAGCATAATCAATCCCTCAAGTTAACTCTCCGATTAGAAAAGTGTTCCAAGCCCGACTGGAAAATGAATTCGGCGCCACCTATTTCATAGGCTAAATAGGAAAACCCTGCGATATTGAGCAGTTTAGGTTGAAGGATTGCGAAGACACCTGTAAGCTGTAAAAATTAGAAAATAATAATAATAATAATAAAACAAAATATTTGAAAACAGATCAAGTTCATTTATTGGTTTTGAAATGGTTAGGTACTGCTGTTGACTTATGCAATGCAATAACAATAATACGACAACTGGAAAGCAAGATTTTACTTGCGAGTGATCACCCCATTGGCGTATCCAGGATTTTGGTTTGGGGGGGGGCTCTGTCAACAAAAAAAAAAAAAAAAACGCTGCCGACAATACAATAGTCCATTTTCACTTGCCTGTTATTAGCTAAAGCCAATATATTCATGCGCTTGTTTCCCATGTAGAAATGCCGAAATGTTTTACTAGAGTTCAACGATTATACCTGTCCTTTCTTTTTTTATGAAGTAGTAAAGGACAAAAATAGGTCATAGGTTATTGTGACTAGTTTTATGTCAGCCATGTTTGGGAATGGTTTACTAATGAGAAATTCGGCATCCTCGCATGTTTAGGTAAGTGACGTCCCTTTCCTATGCCGCGTTTTCACAGCAGTTTAAAAATTCGATTTTCAAATCTTTTTATTTTCGAAAATTAGCGTTTTTTGGGAAGAAAGTATACTGATGGTATCAAAATGACTAACAGATTAATTTAAAAATTTGAAAGTTGCCTATTTTTGTCAGAATTCACCTGTAACATACCCAAATGTTACGCGCTTATTCTTTTATTTCCTACTGAACTATTATAACCATATAATACCTTGGTTACGATAATCCTAAACAGGGTCTTTTTGTAAGAGGATACATTTCGTACACGGAGCCCCTTCTTTCCTCAGGAAGGAAAGTATTTCAGACATTCAAGATGATCAGGATGAAGCACTGATTCCCTTGCTGCATTAGGCGCCCGCCATAGAAAAACCTTATTATAGAAAGAAATACATTTTATTTTTATTTTTTTTACAAAAATTGTACGTCACATAAAATGCGCTGGAAAAAAAAAAACATCTAGACTTGCCGTGGGGGGGCTGCAGCCCGGCAGCCCCCCCCCCCCCCCCTGGATACGCCTATGGATCACCCGATCACCCTCTTGCGCAAATAATTGAAAATAAAAATAATTATGCCCGTATGCACCGTTTCATCGTTAGGAAAGGCTTAGCAAAGTTATTCCTAGAGTTGAGAAAAAATTTTGAATGCACCGTCAACAAATTTTGTTTTCTTAGCTAAGAAACTGATAAAATTTGCAACATTGCAATTTCTGGTGACTTTTGTTTTTTTGTCAGTTTTTACAGGTTTTTAACAACTCGACTTTGACAGTTTTGGTTAGTTCGCTGTATAAAAATTTAAAAATTGTTCACTTTCCGCGTATTTTGTAATGTATGTATTTGTTATTTCGTGTTTATAGAGCTTTAAAATATTCTAGGCCGCTCTTTATTTTGTGTTTCTCGAGGTGTTTCCTTGAAGGCAAGGCTTGTTTCAAATATGAAGAATAGAAAAAAGCATGAATTTAATTTTTCAGAAAACGAAAAATAACTGATTATTCCCATAATAAGCAAATATGCTAATATAATTGAAAATAAGAAGACAATACTTGCAAAACAGTGGATTTTCTCAACCTGAATCGCCGGAAAAAAGACAAATCATCCGTTAACCGGAAATAATTTTCTCTATTAAAAATTATAACTAAAAATTCTTGGAAACCCATAATCCATAATAAAATATCCAAAATATCAAAAACGTCTTCACCTAGCATGTCGAACTCCATTTTTTTGTATAGCAAATGATGGAAAATCTTGTTTTTAATGTTGTTATGCTACACGACACTCGTCATATTCGTAAACGTCAAAAAACCTTACCGGTCCTAACCTAACCCCACAATCGCAATAAAGACAGATTTTTGTGTCTTGAGTCGAGGATTTTGATGACTTAACTTTAAGAAGAACTTAATCAGATTTAACTGGCGGTGCATACGAAATTTAAAACTTAAGTTTAAAGGGAAACTAAGAATAGAATAAAGTGAACGGTGCATACGGGCATTAGTGACTAACATTTTTAAAGTACTTGCTTGTCAATGTCAATATGTGTATTGGATGTTTAGCAATCCCCTCTTTTTTATTCTAATTATTCTAATCGGTGACTTCACCGATAAGTTAGCTTTCCCCTCGTTTTTATTCTCATCGGTGACTTGACCGATGAGTTAGCTATCTTTGTTTAGTGAATGGAAAATGGCAATGACCGACATAGAATGGTGGATCCATCGGTGAAATTTGATGAGGATAAAAACGCAGGAAATTTGAAATTGGGAAGGAAAAGTCACTGCTTCATTCGCAGAACTTCGCTATAGAGAAGGCGGAATATTTTCGAAGCAAACAGCTTCGGCAAACTAAACTTGAACGTGGATTACTTTGTATACTTGATGGACCGTGGATTTTCCTTCCTTTTGCGAGTATCCTTTCTGATTTTGTGTATCCAAATTTTGACAAATATAGAATTTGATGGAAACTTATGGAAAGACACGTCCGCCGGTGAATAGGAATTATTTTTTCGAAAAGGCACACTACACACAATCACCATTCTTAGGAAGAAACCTTGAAAAAAAAACGAGGAAATAATAGTTTCCAGTTTCCACACGTACAAAAGTCTCGTCCATACATGTCTCGTCAACAAACCACTGTCAACTATTGTTTTCATACCCTCTCAGAGAGAGAGGCTTTTTACTTGGTATAGTTCGGAGTACGTTCACTTATCTTCACTGAAGATGTTCCACTGTTCGGTTATTGATCAAATATTTGGTTATTGAATTTTTGGTGGTAGTATAAGCGTAAAAGTGCCCCCTTATTAATCAACCATAGAGCAAACTACATGGGAAGATGAGTGCCACCAAAAGTGTACTTGTACCACACAGGTGTTGAAACAAACCGGAGTTGAATAGAACCTCAGGAAGAATCTTTGTAACTGGGTTTTGGTAATGTAACCCAGAGATGGGATTGTTGTAATCCTGTAATAAAACGTGTAACCCGGTGGTGAAACCCTCTATTAATCCACACAAAGCATAACCGTCAGTGTCACGAGCAAAGACGGCTGCTCACTGAAAGTTGACTGGTAATCCTAAGACTGAAACGAAACAAAACGATATATGGAATTCTAGAAATCTATCCCAATAAAGAGTTGAACCAACTTCATAATTAAATTAGAACCTATTCCAGTTACTGCAGCATACAGTTGTCAACGTCACGAGCAGAGGCAACTGCGCCCTACGAAGTATCAGTAGAAAACTTGCGGTTCGTTGCCAAAGATAAAGTAAAAGAAAGAAACTCAAATACATGATCAAATACAGGGAATGAGGAAAACAGGAAAAAAAATAATTAAAACGCAAGGAAACATGTAAGGAAATTATTAATTTCCATAAGGGATTGTAAGATACTGAAGGTAATTCTCACAATAGCACTTAGTGGACTCTTTATATCAATTATGGAACTACAGATTTCAAATTTTCTACGTGCCACACGCCGTTACTGCGCCCAGAAGAATCTTCAAGTTTGTAGGTGATATAACCAGCTTTCCTTCTAATTTCAAAAGGACCGATAAATTCTGGAGCCAATTTTGCATTACAATGCTTTGCAGCATCCGACAAAGATTTATTTTTCCGCCAAACTTCTTGTCCAACAACAAACTGATGACCAGGACGTCTTCCCAAATTATAATAGTGCTGATTTCTCAATCGGGCTGATAAAATAAAAAAGAGACGATGTCCTTTCCCAAAATTGACAAAATAAGGCGTATAGCCAGTAACTTCATGTTTTGATGTCCGAATAGCACAAGCTATAGATTGTGAATTTTCGTCCCAAGTACGGTGATCATTCTGATTAATGAAGGAACGAATCATGGTTTTTACTACTCGATTTACCCTTTCCACAGGATCGGCTTTAGAATTGTAATGAGCAGTATAGAAAATGTTGATCTGGTACCTCTCACACAGACCTTGGAATTCCTTGGATTTCATTTCGTCAAAGAACACTTGGTTACGGCTCCTGATTTCGATCGTGCTGTTTTAACTCAGGAATTTGATGGAGGGGAAAAAGTCATAAGCTATCTTTCACGCTCATTGACCAAACAGGAACAAAAATATACAGTGACAGAAAAGGAGTATCTGGCTGTTATTTGGAGTATAGAAAAATTGAGGCATTATCTGATTGTTCAAATTTGATTGCAAGATCTTCAATAATTCTTGGTGACGCCTTAAAATGATCAAGAAACTCTTTATCAGTGTCCATGTGCATTATATCGTAAGCATAATTTTCGTGTTTTTGGTGGTGCTCAAGAACTTCCGGTATAAGAACAGCTAGGAAGTTCCCAGCACTTTATGATGTCTCGTCATCAACGCTTGAACTGAAAACATCATATGAAATAACAAAAAAATTGAGCTCTCTTCCAACCGACATTAGAACCATTCTAGAACGGTAATTTCCAGTCGATCAATTCATTTGTCAAGTTAGGATAAACGTTCAACTTATTGGAAAATAGGTGGGCAATAATTGAAAATTGGTTCTGGAACGGTTCTCATTTCGGTTAGAACAGAGCTAACTAAACTGAAAACTGGCATTAAAAAATAAATAGTCTTACTAGTATAAGTGGCTTGATCCGCTTGATATCCATAATTTTCCAAAACCAAAACACAGCTTTTCTGTTTAAAAATATCCAAAAGAAGTCCTAGAAATAAGTTAATATCAACTACGCATGTGCGAACTGTTTAATTCTCAAACAATCTCTACTCACGGGTGGACCGTCAGAATGATTCAGAACAGTTCCGAACTGCGTACTGCAAAAACCAAAACAGCGAATCAAAAATTCGGAACTGATTCTGGAAAAATCAAAACGCAAAAAACTTTCTGCGCCTGTATGAACTGCCCCAAAACGATTCTCTACATGAACCAAAACAAACCTCTCGTGTTGATCCATGGCGACTTGTCCGTATTTTAGCTGTTCTTTGATTTCTGGCCACGATGAGTTGCATGTGAATATTATTATGAAGAGGTCAAGTCGTCCATATTTTCTTACGTAGGTCATGGCATCTTGAGTGTATTCGTGCATATGTCTCGGACTTCCTATGTAAGATGAAGGTGAAATTACCATTGTTCCAATGTCGTCAATATTTTCGTCATTTATGATTTCGTCTGGAAGATGTATGTATTCTGCCGTGCGTAGTTTCTTCTGATTCAGTCTTAAATGTAAAGCAACCGTTCCGCTTCTATTTTTGCATGAATTGTTGGAATAAATGGGAAGTGTTGAAAATGTATGTTTCATTGTCTTTGATCATTAGGCGGTAAGCATAGAACTTCTTGTAAGTAACTGTTTTGTTTGTTTCTACGCCTGTTGCAGGTTGGATTTGTTTCAAATTAAAATTATATCCGTTTTCTCCATCAAAAAATATTAATGGATATTGCAGGGCATTATATGAACGGTGTTTCTCTGTAATTTGTTGTAGTCCTTCTCTTCTTCGTTGTACAATTATGTCACGTGTTTGTGTTTTCATTATCCACAATTGCGATGGCGACTTTGTCTATTTGAGGTGCATTAAATCGACGTTTGTGGTTCTCCAGGTGGTCTCTTGTTGACTCGAATTATAACTTTATAGTTATCAGAAATCATTCGGTCTACTAGAGAATAAGAGAATAAGTTGATTGTATTTGTGTAAGATCCTCTGTATACAGGGTGATCCAGTATAAAGTGAAATTTCGTAAAACGTTTTCAAATTCCTAGAAACAAAAAACACACGATGGATATCTTGATTTTTTCGAAAATAAGTTTTTTAGCGGAAAGGTAGGGGTCTGTGTTCACTTTATACGGGATCACCCTGTACATCTTGGATTATTTCTCGTCTCAATCCACTGATGTTTGTGTGCATCGTTGATCAATTTCTCTTTCTCCATTTCCGATGAAATATATTTACAGAAATGTATAATTTTCGTTGGGTAGTGGTAGTGATGATCCCATTTTGTCATAGATCTGTCATTGGAGGAAAAAACATAATTGAGTTCATCTATGTTAGTGTTGATCGAAGTGACACCAGAAGGCATTTGGAAACAGGCATTGTACATACGCTTTTATATTTTGAAGAAAGCTGTTTTGATTCTGGAGTTTCCCCGGTCATGTAATGTAAAAATTCCTGCGGAGGAGCTTCCAGTGGTGGTAATCGAACTTTTCCATTTATGCAATAGATCCCTGGTGTTTCTCTACTGATTTTTTTCGCGTTGCAAATCTGTCAGATTTTATCAATTTTTCCGATTACGACGTGTTTGCGTTTGTTATATTCTTTCGTCGGGTCGTAGTGAAATGCTTCATTTCTTAGGTTGTACTGTTTACTTGTCCTCGTTCGCGCTTCTCGTAGAGTGATATTTTCATGGGTGGCTTGCGTTTGCATTGTTTTATCATAAGATTGTGTCACAATTCTTGATTCTTCACTTCATTCATTTCGTTGTTTTTCGGTTTTTCTGCTTCTGGTGCTCATTTTAGTTCGTTGGAAATGTAAACGTGCTTCGCGCTCTTCGACGGTTTTGTTTTCGCGCTGTTCTTTTCGTTTTTGCCGATTTGCTTCAGAACTGGCAAAATCTCCTCTTCTTTTAAGTTTCCAGGCATTGTCTTAAATATAAATCATTTATTTTTATCAAGAAATACAGTAAGTGGACTTAAAATACCTTTCACACTTCATTTTCGATACGATATGACACACACTTCTCTGATTGGGATTTCAAGATAAGCGGTACTCTATCTGGCGGCAAATTACGGAACTAGTTTCTAGTACATTGTCATATGTTATCCTATTGTTTATCATTGTATTTGTGTGAATATTTTCGAGGTGTTTTTGAGTTTTTAAAGCATGTTGGTGAATTATTAAGTCTAAATTATATCAGATACATTCAATTATGACCTCAATTCACTACTGTTGTGTTCCTCAGTGCAAGTTTTGGGCCAAAAAAGATGCTGACAAAGGGTTGAGTTTTCCACATATTTCCCCTTGAAACAGGCCGGGTTTATTTGGAAATGAAGATGGGAAAATAGTTAGAATGGAGAAGAAAAGCCTGGATTTTAAAACTTCATATTGGCAAACCAGTCACCAAATTCAGGAAAGTGTATTTCTCTGCATTTCAAGCAAGAAGTTTGTGTTAAGGTAAACAAACATAATGGATATTTTTGTGTCCTAGTTTCCTTTTAGGACTGCTCCTAGGCATTAATTAAGAAGCTATTATCTATTTTTGAAATGTTTTGTTTGGAAATATTGACTGTTTTTATTATTTACAGGTGGGAGGTACAGTTAGTGGTCGGATATTGAAAAAAACAGCTGTACCATCCCAGAATTTGCTCTATTCTACAGTGATCCATAAACCCAGCCAAAAAACAGATTCCTTGTGTGCTGAAAGATTTGCCAAAAGAAAAAGAAATCAAGATTCTAGTGAGAGCAGTTCAAGTTGACTTTGTTAATTCAATATTCACCTATTTATAAATAAAAATAAAGAGTTATTTATGAAATATTTATTTATTTATTGCACATACAAGTTATTCAAATACAGACATTATAAGGGACATATCTGCCTTGACCCTTTTGGCAATGTCCTATAGTGGAAAATTTTAAGAAAAAGAACCGTTTAGGCTGTTGTATAGATATGACCATTTCGGGTCAGGTAAGTGAAATAGATTATATTGTATTTTGGCCTGCATCAAGAGCCATAAAGCTCATAAACACAAGACAAACATTTAAGCTAATGTAAATCATATGCAAATTAAGTGAGGTTATGAATCAATGTACTACAAAGTAGTTGAGCTATTCGCCACCGCGGCGCTACGATCTTAATTTGAAATCCCAATTGCTTCTTTGATCTGCTTATCGCGCTATTCTATACACAACTAAAGTAGGTAACACAAGGCGGGGCTGCTTATTTATAAAAAAAAATACCTGCGTCGATTGTTCCGGATATGTTCAAGATAATTCCATTGGAGAACATTCTTGTAATGCCTGGAAAATCACTGAGAAATTGAATTCTGGTCATTGAAGAATTTTGATCATGACTTTCTATGAAAGGGTAACTTGAAAGGTATTTGTTGCTATAAGGTACATGAGATTGAATTTATTCGAACAACTCAGAAGAGCTTATGAAATTATTTATAATTTTCTGGAAAAAAAAAAGTATATTGTTATACTAAGCGTTTGCTAATACTCCGTGAATCAATCACCCTTCCTAAATAGCCATGATTGATTGCATCTACTTAAATGTGCAATCAATTTAAAAGTAATAAAGGGCTTGGAATGTTCTACAATGTTCTAGAATATTCCCGAACATTCGTGACGTGGGACTGCAGGTTCGGATCCTACCGACTGCGCCATGTTGTGTGTTACTTAAGATGGGGCAAATAAACACGCTCTGTGAATGCTAAGTAACAACTGCAATTTTTATTGTACGTCATATGATATATGTACAGATTCACACTAATGCGTTGCGCATTAGTTGCTCCAATATGAAAATTCGTAGAGTGTTCTGGGATGTTCCCGAACATCCCACAATATTCCAGAATGTCGTGGAATGGTCTTGACTTCTCCCGAATGTTCTAGAGGGCAAAACTTCCAGTCCTTCTATCTTCAAAAGCACGCCATTCAGGTAAAAACGGGAACCTTCTTCATCGACGGGATATAGAGGGTGACCACGCCATATAACTTCCTTGATCGTACCGGGACTCATTGCTCTGTTTTAGAGGCACGCACATTGTACACTTTCTTTTATAATATACCTATATTGATTACTTGTTGAAACCCGTGATTCAGTGGACTAAAATCTGGCTGATTCAAAGATTGAAGTGATAACACATGGTATGGTGAGTTCATTTTTCACAATGAAAAGGGGAACAAAAAGTATAAATCTCACAATTCCAAGAAAGCTTATTAACTATTGACTACCATGGTTTCGGGGTCAAGACATTAGACCCCATCTTCAGGTTAAAATGGAATTCAGGTTACAAAATCACAGGTGCAGGTGCGGGTTGATTCTAGCCCGCGGTCGAATGTACTCCAACAGGTAAACTAGTTGAAGATAAACGCAAGACTCTCGGCGAAGATCAATTGAGCATTAAAAGCCTAACGGGAAACCAATTATTTTCAAGCGTTCAAAGAGAATGCCTCTGACTCATTGGGTGGATCAAGCTAGTTATTGGTCATAGAAAATGAGACGATTTTCTAGCCAAGATATACGAAGAACCACAATCTGAGCGATTGAGACATGAAGTCACCATTCGTTAACGCTGGATAAGAGAAGAATGCCAGATATTTTTTCCCGGACCGGTCTGACTTGAGGTTGCAGCCAGCACTGCAGACCAAATGTTGAAGAATTATATTTTCAGCTCAACATTATCCTGTATTAACTATTATGCTTTAAATATAAAATGTGATAATTTGCTTTTATGATGTGTCTTTGAATTTGTATCCAAAACAACTCCGCTACTTTTTATACACGATCCAACAAAAAATATTAAATTTTTTGAGTCATTATTTCCTATAGATAATACTGCCGGAAATCAAAAATTTTGAGGCACCCTTTATAAATTGAGAATTTTCATATCATGAAAGGTCTTTAGTAATTTTTTTTCTAGTGGTTCCATTGAAATGAACGACCAATCTTCAATCGGCTCGGCCAAGGACCAATCACGAGGCGTTTCCATCGAAAATGTAAATCGCAGTGGGTCGATTTCGAGCGACGAAGGAGTGCAGCCGCTTCCGGCCGACGTTAAAAGTCCATTAGCAGTCCAAAAAAGTACTTTGAAAAATCGCTTGTTCTGTAAAACACCGAATACTTTGTCCGTCCAGCCTGTGAACAGTTTGGGACAGAGTTTGCCTAATTTGTCGTTAGGTTCGCCGAATATTGGCAGTGGAATGTGTTTGAATTTGCATCAGAACACTTTATCGGTAAGTAATAACTTATTATTCGTCAACATTACACTCTAGCATGTATTTTTTCGGAACCTAATCCAACTTGCAAACTAATGATTCTGAAGCTAAATGTATAGTATTTTAAAATATTTAACAAATAATCTTGTCGATAATAATACTTCTGGCCCATTTGAGGCTGGTATTTAGCACTTTCCACTTCTGCTTGTTAACTGACATGTTATTATAACACCAACTTGGTTGTTGACGTGATAACAATTATTGTCCTCTCGGGCACATTTTCATAATTCACTCAAAACCTCAAATGGTGCTTCTACTGCTTCGATTGCCGCTGCTGATTAGGTGAAAATAACTTGAATGGCATTTTCACTGCTCATCGCTGCTTAGATAGATACACTCAACCAAATAGTAGCATAAATAAAAAGAAGTTGTTCTTTGATTTAATGAACAATTCATTAAAATCGGTCCAAAGAACGGCTTCTTTGATCACATGAACTCTAGGTTATTGAAGTATGAACAATTTCTTAATTCCTATTTCGATTCATCTTGTGTATGAACAACGAACATTAAGGTATGTAGCAAGGTTCTTGTATTAATGAAACTTTTCATAGTAACAATAAACATCGTTCTTAGTTTATATGTACTTTTTCATTGTCCTGATGAACAGACGGCATAATATTAATGAAGCCCAGATATAATTTGATGAAATCCTTTCATTGTATTTATGAATCACAGTCTTGAATACTAAGAATTGCATTCATTGTATTTATTAATGACGTTTTCAATAATATGTACCATATTCTTTATTTTTATTAAAATAATTTCATAAATTATGCCTTAAATATACTTATGATTTTAAATGGGGTAAAGGGTCATTTTTTATATTTGCGTGTCCCCTGTACTGATGAATATGAGCAATAGGAAAAAAGCTTTTAATGCAAAAGTTGCATGGTTTCTTCGTATCATCTTCCAGAATTGTCAAACAAACCAATGGGCATCCTAAAATCTGAAAATTTAAAAATCTAAGTACCTACTTATGTATTTTTATTTTAAATGACACTAACCGTATATTCTATTATCTTTCAAATCCTCCTTAAATCCTGTTTCCATAAATATATAATATATCTATATTTGTTCCAGCTGTTTTTGAACTATCAACATCCAAAGTTTCTAAAACAAGCCACATCAGAAAATTAGATTTGATGCTTTGGCTGGTTTCCTTGCCTCGGCTATGAAACACTAGCTGCGGTATTGAATCTTCTGCTTTTCTACCTAGTGAAACAAAACCATTTAACAAAAATATATCGATTAAAAAAATTACTTGATTTGGGATTGAGTATACTTACTTTTAGAGACTTCAGTATTCCTTAGAAATTCTGAGGAGCTCTTGACGCTTTTGTCTTTCACGTTCTCCCCGGATGACATTTAAATCTGTAGGTCATTTCTTTCGCATTCCCATTTTGACATTAGACCGTCTCCGTGCAAGGCATCAAAGTCCTACCTACATAATAGGTATACATATTATAGAGGTAATAGAGGTATACAACTTACCTTTAGAAAAAACCGGCGACAGGTATAATCGACTTTCTATTTAACACTTCGAACAACACAAAACCGAAAAAACCGACTTGAACGAAGCACGTAGCAATGCACCCAGAAAATAGAAATGTAATTATTCCTATTTCAACATATTTTTCTATGTCGTTGGCCGACTGCAGCTACCTTTGCGCATGTGCTTAGGAACTGTCTACATTAATGCTATGAACTGTTTCATTGTATTTATGATTTATCTTGATGTAATGGTTGCAGCTTTGTTTCTAGGAATACTTGCTTGTTTTAAATGAACCGTACATTGTATCAATGAATTTCGTTCTTAAAAGGATAAGTTTCTAGTAAGGTCATATGAACCATATTCATATTATTCATGTTAATATTCATTTAAATTATGAATATTCCGTGGAAGCTCCCATCAAAGAAATTTTCTTTAATATCAAGGTTTAATTTCATAATATCAATGAACTTAGTTCTTGTAACCGATGCACTATTCAACATAGATTCATGTAGATGACTATTCATAACTTAATGAAGCTTCATTCTTTATTTTAATGATAGCTGTTCATGAAATCATAATACTTACAGTTTTCTGTACCTGGGATTAATGAAAATTTCACTGAATCAATGAAAATGTAATTTATGAAAGCAGTTCATTGATATTATGATCAAGATTTTTTTGAGTGTATTAGTTGGCAAAATAGTAGTAGGCAATGACGGCTAGAAATTGAGACATAATAATCTATTAACAATTTTTATAGGTACCATCAACTAATAAAACCACAGGCGGTACTCATCTACTGAGCCCAACGCACAGAGGTGTCTCTTATCCACCCCCAAGTCCAACCAGGGGTAATTTAAGACGCAGTTTGGCCATATCGCAAAGCAAAAATCCGCCTCTTATTAAAACTAGGCAAGTAAACTCAGCCTCGTCGGCAAGCGTCAGTCTATCTCAAGCTCCTGCCAGTTTTGACTTCAACGTCCCTGTTATTGCAGGTAATTATTAATTTATATGTTTTTGTTTTTTTAATTTCAATGGTTCTGCTTTAAAATTGGGATATTCCACAAAATCGAGCAATTTAATTTTACGGAGAACACATAAATTATTCAATCAGCGAAGTTAAATCTCAGAGAAAAATATACTTGCCTAACAATTATTTTTCTCGGAAGTTTCTCCGCCAGCTCACGTTTCTTTTGAGCATAAGTGCTCTAAACTTTTAATCGGTTTCATATTAAAATTGCAGTTTTCCGGAACTGGAAAAACCGCAATTTTAAAAATATATTCTTGTTCGAGTTTTACCTTACCTATGAATAAAATGGACACTTATGCCATGCCAAATTAGAGCAGGCGAAATTACTTTTTGAAGCAGAATTATAAGTTTGACGGGTTATACAAATTATATCTCAATCATTTCTCTATTTTTTTATTTCCACTCACCCCTCACTGTAGAAGAAGAACCAACGTAATTTCATTTTCTTGTGAGTTCTCTATTGTAGTTTTAGACCTTATTTTTTACGACTTTTTTTTCTCGGCTTTAATTTGTTTCTTGCCTTTTCTTCAACACTTGATGCTTCCGGCACTTATTTAGGTATTCAATTTCCACGAAATTTGAGCAAAACAAAAACCAACTCACCATCACAGCTAAACCAAAAGCCTACTGCTTTTCAATTAGGAATTTTAATATATTTAATCAACTTCTCACATTTTTCTTTAAGAAATACTTGAAGATAATATCTGTGACTCTCGGGTCTACGCCGTAGAAAATTTCCGACTTTCCGACACAGGCTCATAAAATTGATCTTCTATTATTTCTTGGGTACGTTATACTTGAAAACGGATCAAAAATCTCGAAAACTATGGATTGTCGCATTATAGCCATATTACCTGAACAACTCCATGGTTTTTGTCAGAAGTTTTTAGTAAGACTTTTTTATTTTTTTTGGGTAGTTCGTTGGAAAGTTGCTATATGTACCATTGAGATCAGAAAAAAGTAGTACAAAAATTATCAACCCCAATTTGAGCTCCCAGCTAGATACCATAGACCAAGATATTTTGGGGATTTTTGTTGTACTACTAATTTTTGAGGGGATTTTATTTTGAAATCTGGACTACCTTTGTTACTTGCAAATATATAGGCACTTGTGTACCTACAACTTTTTTGATGGGGGTTTTTGTAAGGGAGAGATTTTTTCCAAATACCCGTTTAATCTCTCATACCTATTTCGCCAAAAGTTATGCCTGCTATTAGGATATTTTTGGAAATTTTTATTCAAGGGCTGATATACCTACTTTTTTTGTCATATTACCTAGATTAATCTGCAATGTTCTAGTGTAGATCAGCGTTATACCCCCCACCCCTCGCTTTCCTCGAGCTATCTGTTGCCTTTTTTTTAGGGAATGCATTAGATTTTAGGCACAGAAAAATCGAGAAACTCCGCCGTTACTGTGTCGGAGTTTTTTGATTTAAATTATTGATCAATGATAGCTGAGAGCTAACTTTTTTTATTGTTTTTTTTTTTAAAGGAGTTAGTTCTTCAGCCGAAACTTGTGAATCTTTTAATAGAGGCCAAAAACGCCAAGCTATAAAAAGAAGTCAACGATATCAGACTACTGGAATGATGGATGATCTCAAGGTAAGTGACAATAAAATTCTATATTAAAATACTACAATATTAAAAAATGTATAGCTAGGACATGGAGCACAATAAAGTACGCAATTCGTTTTTCGTAGGTAACGTCTTGACCGGCCCTAATCGATATTCTAAAATATTTAAAGTGGTCATCCATCAGAGTGAAGCTTTCACATTCCACCGACAAACTTGTCAACACGAACAAATATACTTCAGGACTACAAACTTAAATGATGATAAAATTAAAAACGTTGATTGATATAAACACAAGCTTTTCCATGTTAAAAAAAAAAACCTATTTATTATTTGAACATGTTTCAAGTGAAACCTATGACGCTTAAAAGCAGCTAATTAAATTAAATGCTAGCGTCTCGCTAACTTGTGTGTCATACCCTCATCGCTTGAAATTTTACTCCTAGCGCGCGTTAAGAAGTTTCACTTCAAAAATTCCATACCACACAATTTCACATTCTTTTGCCAAAAAATGTCGACCAGGCAGCGGTGTGGATAGTGTGTCCGCTTCTCCTGTTGATGGTCCCGGGTTCAAGTCCTGGCTAGGGATTGTTGTATTTTTGTTTGCATTATGTTTGCCTTATTAAGTGTCCAGACAAAATGCTAATAAGGAGGTTCGGACCTATACTATAAACTGTAGATCCTAATTGATTGATTGATTTGATATACAGCAGCAATGCAAGGTTTAGTGATTCCCTGACACTGCAGCTAGTTAGCTTATGGTATCCCTTACTGTGTAAGTTTCTGCTGAAAGAGGTTTGTCACCTTCGCCAGGTGCAGTAGCCTCTTTATTGGCGTCTTCAGCCTCCTCTTGGATGGGCTCCTCCTCCTACAGAAGGTGTCGATTTCTCCAGTAAGCGAGTGCTGCAGCCGGATTACAATTTTACTAGTCGATACGAGTCGAGCAGGATTCGAGTTCTCCTGTCATCTACGGTCGAAACCTAAACGGATGCAGAGCGACATACTTGACCTCAAAAAAATACAAATAAGGTCTATTTTACCACGTCAAAAATCATCCCATGAACGGTTTCGAAACCACTCTGTATACGAATTTCAGATTCTACGCACTATAATAATCATAATAATGTATACTTATTGGATAATAAACAATTATTGAGAAAACGATAATAAAAGTCAATAGCTGACTCTGATAATAATTAATTAACTTAATATTTGTATTTAAAACAGTAGTTAGCTATTCTAGCTACATACTACTATACGGTAAGCCAATTAAGTCGGTAATTGAATTCACAAAGATATTAATTAGCTAATAAAGCTAATCGATAGGGGGCGATAAAGAAAAGGTAAAAAAGAGTTACGGTACTTAAGATGGCATGTTTAAGACACCCATAGGTAAATAATTATACAAGCCTGGACGGAATCCTTGTAAAGCCTCGGAAGTTTTCACAAATTTGAGATCTGGAAGTACGAAACTGGCTGGAGACAACCAAGTAATGGTTGGGGATTAACTTCTTACAGGAAACAAACTTTCCTTGTAAAGGGGGCCCCGATTTGGTCCGAATTTCCAGGACAGTGTGGTCTCAAATTCGTCAATTTTCACTTAGAGAAGTGCAGGCGCGGATTTTTCGTCCTGCCCAAAGTGCCTGAATGAATTGAAGGAATATAAGGACTCATTCATCAGAGAGAAATAGTATATTACAATTCGAGACGGAAAATGCTTCATTGCTGGTCAAGAGGTTATATAGTTATAACTAAACCTCGAGACAGCAATGAAGTTTTCCGTCGAGGTTTGTATACTATTTTATTCTCAACCCTCAATTTCTGAGGAAAAAGTAATTTACATACCTGAACGGCCGATAGCAACCTCACTTTCCAAAATCTTCACAAAAATCAACAATCGGTTGATTTTCCAGGAAACTTTCTAATAGACACGATCAAGCACTCTTCTGGCTAGTCAATTTACGAAACTATGGGCTAGATGGCCAAAAATAAAGACAAAATTTTAAGATTTTTAAGATTAAAAATCTGGACGACCGTTTCGGTCCCAAGACAAAAGAGAACGGACCAAGTCAAAAGTACCCAAATTGGTTCTGTTCTTTCTTTTTTCGTCTGTCAAGCTTGTCGAAATTATAAAAATGACAGCGCTACAGGTGTCTTGGAAATAACAGAATTCTCGATACAATGATATTAGGTTAGGAAAACTAGTCAGCAGAATCATAGATGTCGCTAGGTGTACGAAATAATACTTTCAAATGAGTCCAAAATATATTAAAATAATTAAGAACAATAAATAATATATTGTAACATTTCAAATGTCACAGTACAGGGTAGGTACAATAACAGGAGAAAAGCGAAACCGCTGCCCACACAAAACAGCAAAATATTTCTTAACAGTGACAAAAAACCCAAACCAAGACGCTTTGAAATAAATTAATGGAAACCTTATCCTTGGCCATAGACATGAACATGAAAACGAAAAAATAACTCGAACAATCAAGGTCTGAAGTTAATGAGAAGGAAACTTGCCAATGGGGGGAAATAGACATGAACATAAAAACGATAAATACCTCAATCAAGGCTTGAAAGTAATGAGAAGGAAACTTGCCAATGGGAAGAAATTTATTTTAAACAACAACAAACACTAGACAAGATATACTCTACGTATTGTCAAGAGATTTCACAAAACTTTCTAAAAAAATGAGAGCTCTTGGACTCTGGAGCAAGGAAAAGTTCAGAGGACATGCTTGATATTTCTGTAGGGATCTGCAATGCACTCAGAAAGACAGGGTTGGATGAACCCACCAGGATACCGGGAAATCCCCGGTGGGCCGATTGGAGTGTGGGCCGATCTTTAAAACAACAGAATCTTTATCAAGATACCTTCAAACGGACGGCCTCAATAAGGTTTGTTCTCACAGAAATCACAAACCAGGCAGAGCGTTTTTGATTGATGCAAATCGCCAACAAACTGTTTTCTGACTATTTTCAACGAATGAAATTGGCTCTGACTGGTTTGTGATTTCTGTGCGAACAGTCGAAAAGCACAGAGAATGGTCCATTCAACTTATGACGCACTGAAAAAGGAACAACGCAACATGAAGAAGTAATCAGAAGTGCTAAAATGTGTGTCAATTGGGCTAATAGGTACAGGACTTGTGTTCGTGAAAAAAAAAAAGATAAAAGAAGATGCCAAGGGAGAATGCAGAGATGATACTCCTCCAGCTACTGCTATTTTTAAATTTGAGGTGGAATAGTACCTACACTCATGTGGCCATGGATCGCATCAAAACAAAAATAGAGGCATCTTATTTGAAGCATAGTGTGTTTGTGCTGATTTTTCATGTTTGGATCCAAATAATTTTTCCGAATTAATGCCAGACGCTGCTTTGAATAAAATTAGGTACCTAGGTGACTTGAAAAGGACGGAGCTGTATGACCTCCCTGAATTTAACGATGAAGATGAAGATGAAGATGAAGATGAAGATGAAGATGATACAGGGAATAGGGAATAAATTAGAACTTTCTAAATGTTCTTCACATTTACGCTGCAAACAACCTCTGAGTTTTTTATAAGTAAATACCGATTTCACATCCGTCATCTTTGGGGCCTACCAGTATGTCTTCACTTTAGCGTGCAGTAGGGTGCGAAAAATTCTTTTATTTACAATCATACATGTAATGTTGACTTTACTGACTTTTAAAAAGTTCGAAAATGTCACTTTTTTGACTTTTACTTTCGGCCCACGGGTCGAAAGTTTACTTTCGACCCGTGGGCCGAAAGTAAATGAAATTTTTAAAATTTATCGTATTTTTTGACTTTTACTTTCAGCCCACGGGTCGAAAGTAAACTTTCGACCCGTGGGCCGAAAGTAAATGAAATTGTTAATTATTGTATTTTTTAGTTTTAATCCAAATGAAAATTTCAAAATTCGAATGATTGTAAATAAAATAGTATACATACCTCGGTGAAAAGTTTCATTACTGTCGAGAGATTTAAGTTTTTTCAAATGGAAAGGGTATAGCTCATGAGCATGTTCCAAAAGAGCGTTTTCTAACGAGCAATCGCTAGTTCATCACTCAAATTAAGAATTTTTCTAGCATTCTAAATATTTTTGGAAAATTTTAGTTCAATATTTGAATAAACTAGCGATTGTGTGGTGGTACTGTTGTTTGTTAGAAAATGCTCTCTCGAAATATGCTAATGAGCCATACCCTTTCCATTTGAAAAAATTGATATAATTCCAAAAATGCGCTGCTACTAACTTTAAATGAGCCTTTAGAGGATATAAAATTCAAAATAAGCTCAAAACAAATTTTCCCATGTTTCTAGGAGCAAAATTAAGCATTTTAACTTATTCATGGCGCTCTAGATTTAAAAGTAAAAATTTAAATAATTTGGTGATGAAATGTCAAAAGGTGACAAATGAGGTGTCATTGTACTCGTAATGTAGTTTTCTAGTAAAATCAGGAAAAATATACCTAGCGTCTCATTTAAAATAAGAATGTTAGGGTCACTTCCGGTCAAACCGGAAGTGATAGTAAAAAATTAAATACGTCAAAAAATGCAAATCCAGGTCATAAATAAACACACCAAATTTCATTTGTTTATCTGGAAAAATAAAAAAGTTATAGGGGTGAGCGGGTTTTGAAAAATACCCGGTATATTATAACAGATTCCTACACTTGCTTTATAAAGTCCGACAAATACCATTTTAAAGTCACGTGATTTTGGTGGCAAAAAACGTATGTCCATTGATTATGTCGTTTATATCACCTACAAAAAGCTACTGGGGCCTAATTCTTGAAAGTGGTGAAAATATTCACCGGGTGAAATTGCTAAGCTTTCACCAAAAATGTACATAATCATATTCTTGAAAAAAAAAGGTGAAAATTTTCACCTTTTATTGGGTGAATAGATTCACCACCGAAAAGGGTGGTGAATGTTACAAATTTCGGTGAAAACGTGCATTTCTAACCTTAATTCCGTACTTTGTAATTTGTTTTGTAATTGTTTATTGTCAATAATTATT